CAAAATCGCCACCAAAATAGCCACCCAGCCACAGCTAAAATCACGACCCACCACTGCAAAATCGCCACTAGAATAGCCACCCAGCCACAGCCAAAATCGCAATCCAACCGCCACAGCCAATACCCCAACCGCCACAGCCAAAAAATCGCGACCCAACCGCCACCATAGCCACCACAGTAGCGTCGCGGACCAACCACAGCAAAAACTTGCATCCCAACCACCGCCACAGCAACCACTGCAGTCAACCAAAACACCCAAACGCACCGCCTGTGAAGAAGTTGGGGAAGAAGAGGGAGAGGGGGGAAAAAGAGAGAGAGAGGGGGGCAGGCACGAGAGAGAGAGACGCGTGAAGTGAGAAGGGGAAGGAACGTGATTTGCATTTTCTAATTTTTGAAAACCATTTTTCAAAATGCCAAAAAGAACACGTTTTCAAAAATCTCAAAATGGACATTCAAAACACAAAACTCAAAATAATTTCAAAACACAAAACATAAAACTGAAACACAAAGAGAACGGCCCCTAAGCTTTTTATGTGGCTCGATTCAACCAGGCCAATTAATTTGGTCAAATTCAACCAAACCACAATTATTTGATAGACAGCTTCATACTAGATAACAAATGAGAATCGGCAATATTTAGAAAATCAGATGTAGGGTTGATTTAAGAAAACATGTTGATTCCTAGTTTATGATGGTTCCTGACAAAAGTTCAAGACTTATTTTCTAAAAAGGTCAAGTCTTTTTAGTGTAAAAAAATTTAGATTATAATTTTATGTTGGGAAGAAAAGAAGCTTAAAAATATTTTTTACATCTTTTGAGCTAAGCCATACATGCTCTCGGAACAAGTCTGGTCTAGATTTTCTGGTACTAGTTAACAATCACAAACCAATAAGTTCCCCAAGTTTTCTGGAATCCGCACAGGAGGCAGAATGAAGACAATCCTGTTTTCTCCGGTTCAAAAAATAGAGAAATTTAAAATGTTTCATGAAACTGGAACCTGAAATGTATTTGTTTCTCTTCTCATGTTAACAATAAACTATAAAGTATTTCAATTTTTTTTACAATTTGAACTGATTTATGATTAGACAAAGACAAACAAGGGTCTGGGAATAAATGAGTCTACAAAAACTTTGTTATCATTAACCAAATTAAGAGTAGTTGAATGTTGTTTTATGGAGTTTTCAAAAAGAGACTTAAGTGATGAACCGAATGCAAGAGTGATTATCCATCTTTATTTATATGAAGCAAGCAAGTTTACAGTTCAATTAAATAAAAAGGAGCAATATGGAAGTGAAAGAATCTGTGGAGCTCATAATACATTAGTTACCTTCTGTTAACTACATTGTGCGCGTGACATAACCACTGTGAAAATTCTTCATGAGATCCAGCCTGTACGGGATTGGCTCTGCGAACAAATTAAAAAGTATATAAATGTTCATTTCTTGGAAAATTATTATGATAGGCATTTGGTAGTCATGTGAAAATAAATTGACTCCACTTAGTTCTTCTTCTTCTTCTTCTTCACCAAGCACAGAATAAGGCCATCTTAAAGGGTTAAGATGCTGACAAAAAATCCCAGGACTCATATCTCTAGAAATTAGTAATGCCACCAACAACAGCTGCATCAACTATTAATGTGACTTCCCACCAAAAGTTTTGAAAAATATAAAGAGCTATTTCATGAAGTATGCTAGAAATTGAAGGAAATCATTTAGTAACATGAAAAGTGAAGACTTTATGCCTTGTCCATGTACAGGAACTTCTATAGTAGACAGAAAATCTATCGCTGGGTTTCATATAAAAGTTAAAACATTATAGTTTACTGCAGCTATAAGGAGATGCCTTATGAGAGGATCCGAGGGGGCAAGTGGGAACCATCTAGCCATGTTAAAATTTCCAGACACATCCGATACCTAGGTAGGAGCATCTTAAGCGCCCAGGTTTTGCTCCAGTAAGCGAGGTTCCTTATCATTTTTGGAAGAATGGGGCGGGGAAGAGAGAGATATCTTTAAGGATAAATAGATCATCACAAAAACATCCAAGTATTATCACTATTGTCAAATGTCATTAAAATGTGCCTTTAAACCTTGTGTAGAGTTTTAAGTATTGGCTAAGTCGAAAAAATTATTTAGGGCATGTTTGGATCGGATTAAAATCTGATTTTAATTTAAGTCAAAGTCAAATAATCAATATTAACCACATCTTTCACAAGTCCCACATCATTTCAACCACACATTTCAAAAACTTCTATCACAATCTACTAAAAATCTAATTTTAATCCCCACCAAACACCCTCTTAATGAGCACTAGAGATAGCAGAAAGCAAGCTCCAGAAATGGTACATAGTCTATGTATTTAAAAGGGATGGTTATTAAAATCTCAAAAAAGTTTCAATCCTAATTTTGAGAATGAAATGTTCTAGAGGGAGTAAGGGGGTAGTGCTTTTAAAGAAAAGAGTATATACCTGAGAACTTCTTTGAAGTGATCTGCACATTCCTTACAAGGGTACATTCGAGATAATATTGCCATCTGCATAACAATTGTAAAGCTGTTAGATGGTATTTCATCTGATGAATGCATTGATTTCCTCATCACCTAAATCCTGCTCCAGCGGCAATCTCAAAATGAGATATTTTTCTTTGGCATTGACAGAAAACTCATACGTACGCTGATCAAGTCCAAGTAGAAAACAAAAGATGTATGCATTTCGTGGCATATAAATAAGTCAAATAGGAACAATCACTTAAAACAAAGTATCCCTGATAAAATGAAAAAATAATCCTCAAATCCAAGATTAGGAGACAATGGAAGCAGTTTCTTGACCAAGCTTCCTTGCTAAAGTTGGGTTTAGTCAGTGCAATAACAGAATACCGATCTTATGGTTGGTGAAAGACAGCAGAAATAAGTAATCATTTAGATTTTAAATTCAAAACAAAACATGTATCGTAGCTTTACTTCTCAACAGATGAAGAAATCATGATAAGACATTATGCATACTGTCAGGGAAAAGCAGACATTATATTGACCAGAAACACACAGAGACACGAAGACAGTGAAAAATAACCATACCAGCTCTTTTACATCCTTTTTTTGCTGTCTAGTTGGCTTGTCTGGATACTGGGAGAAAAGAACTAGGAAAATTCAGCAGG